GGCACAAGAAGCTTGGTCATGCAAGCCTGAGATTAATCTCAAAGATGAAAAAGCATAACCTCGTAAGAGGTCTGCTGAGTCTTGTGTACCAATCAAATAGCATATGTGAAGCATGTCAAAAGGGGAAAAAAGTTAAAAGTTTGTTTGAAAGTAAAAATCATGTTTCAACCTCAAGACCTCTAGAACTACTCCACATAGATCTATTTGATCCCACTAGAACTGCATCCGTTAGTGGTAAAAGATACGGACTAGTCATTGTTGATGACTATACTAAATGGACATGGGTGCTGTTTATAACCCATAAGGATGATTCCTTCAAAGTATTCCATGTATTCTGTAAAAGAGTTCAAAATAAAAAAGGAATATCAATTGCGTCTATAAGAAGTGATCATGGAGGAGAATTTGAAAATGAGCAATTTCAAAATTTTTGTGAAGAAAATGGAATTAAACACAATTTTTCAACTCCTAAAACTCCCCAACAAAATGGAGTTGTAGAAAGAAAGAATCGCTCTTTACAAGAAATTGCAAGAACCTAACTAAACGATTTTTCAACTCCCAATCATTTCTGGGCAGAAGTAGTTAATACTTCCTGCTATATACAAAACAGAATATATCTTAGACCCATTTTGAAGAAAACTCCATATGAATTGTGGAAGGGACGAGAACCCAACATATCATACTTTCATCCATTCGGATGCAAATGCTTTATTTTAAATACTAAAGATAACTTAGGAAAATTTGACTCAAAAACCGATGAAGGTATCCTACTTGGATACTCTGAAAGGTCAAGAGCCTATAGAGTCTTCAACAATAGAACCAAAACTGTTGAAGAAGCCATTCACGTTAAGTTTGAAGAAAATAAGCCTAATAAAGAAATATCAGAGCTAGGAACCTTCTTTGAAAATATGCAAGTAAATAAAAATCAGTCAAAGGAAGATGAGTCTGGAAGAATTGAAGCTCAACAGGACGATAAAGAGGAAATAGAGCCCGTAAATAGAAACTGGAAGGTGAAGGCACATCATCCTCAAGAGCAAATCATTGGCGAAGAAAAAGATGTAGTAAGGACGAGAAGCTCATTCAAAACCCAAGCACAAATCGCTCTACTGTCTCAAATTGAACCAAAAACCACGGATGAAGCCCTATCAGACGAAAGCTGGGTCCAAGCCATGCAGGAAGAACTTACTCAGTTCCAAAAGAATGACGTCTAGAAGCTTGTGCAAGCACCAAAAGACAGGTCAATCATCGAAACAAAATGGGTATACAGAAACAAGCTAGACGAATCCGGAAATGTGGTAAGAAACAAAGTAAGGTTAGTTACAAAAGGATATTCACAACAGGAAGGTATAGACTTCACTAAAACTTTTGCACCTGTTGCTAGAATAGAAGCTATTAGAATATTGCTTGCCTTTGCTGCTTGCACTAGTATGAAATTGTATCAAATGGATGTTAAAAGCATTTTAAATGGAACAATTTCAGAAAAAGTGTACGTAAACAAGCCCTTTGGTTTTGAAAACGACCTGCTTCTGTTTCATGTCTTCAAATTAAACAAAGCTCTGTATGGACTTAAACAAGCACCACGTGCGTGGTACGATAAATTGAGCTCTTTTCTAACAAGCAATAATTTCATAAGGGGAAATATTGGCAACACACTTTTTAGGAAAGAAACAAAAGAAGATTCCATAATAGTTCAAATTTATGTAGATGACATAATATTTGGAGCTACTAATGATAACCTCTGTCAAGAGTTTTCTAAGCTGATGAAGGATGAATTTGAGATGAGCATGATGGGAGAACTGAAGTTCTTTCTAGGACTTCAAATCGTTTAGTCAGACAAAGGAATCAAGATTCATCAAACGAAGTATACAAAAAAACTACTAAAGAAATATAAGATGGATGATGCAAAACCAATGAAGACACCAATGCATCCATCCTCAACTCTGGGTCTGGACGAAGACTCACCAGATGTAGATAGAACCATGTACCGAGGAATGGTAGGCTAACTCCTATTCCTAACAACATCCAGACCTGACATTATATTTAGCATCTACGTCTGTGCCAGATTTCAAGTAAAACTTAAGGAGGTGCATTTACAAGTTGTTAAACATATTTTGAGATATCTTAAAGGAATAGCCAACCTAGGAATTAACTTCTATAGAAGCCAGAATTTTTCCCTGTTAGGTTATTGTGATGCAGATTACGTAGGGGACAAATGGGAGAGAAAAAGAACTAATGGAGGGTGTCATTTTCTTGGTCACTGCTTGGTCTCATGGACTCGTAAAGGCAAAGCACGATTACCTTATCAACTTGCGAAGCAGAGTATGTAGCCGCAGGACACTGCCTCATGCAGCTGTTTTGGATCAAACATCTACTGGAAGACTACGACATCTATGAAAGTAGTATCCCTGTACTTTGTGATAACACTGCTGCTATTAACATTTCTAAAAATCCTGTTTTGCATTCTAGGACTAAACATATTAAGATTAAACATCATTTCATTAGAGATCATGTGCAAAAAGGAACCTTCGATCTAGTATATGTTAAAACAGAGGAACAACTAGCTGATATCTTACCAAACCTCTTCAATAAGATAGATATATTTGGCTAAGAGATAGGCTAGGCATGGAGCTGATAGGCGAGTAACAACTTACTGCTAATCAACCCTATTTTTTTTATGATTACAAAGGGGGAGAAATCGAAATAAATTTATCAACCCTATCTATATTGGAGTAATCTAGTAAGGGGGAGAGCACATACTAAGGGGGAGAAGCCTTAGGTATTAGCACCTTAATCATGAATATTTAGAAATCAAACTGATGTATGAATTGCATGAACTGATTGAAACCATTTTATATCTAAAATGATCTGATAGATTATATTGGTCATCATCTGATAGATTATATTTGTCATCATCAAAAAGAGGGAGATTGTTAAGTCAGACGAAGCAATTCCCAGAAAAGTTTTGAATATGACAAATATAATACATATTGTTATTACTAATCTGGGTAGTAGTGTTTCAGATATGTATAAGAGTAGGATCAAGCAAAACAAGGATCCGACAAAACAAGCCAAATATAACAAGACTCATGGCATACGTATCAGTCGATAATGAACACCAAACGAAGATACGCCAAGAATAATCCAGAGCAAAATAGAAGAATTCAAAAACAAGAGCAAAATAAGAACCAAGATAAAGTTGGCTCAAGCACCAAATAAACATCAGACAAAGGTCATGGATCAATCATATATACTTAAGTCAAGAAGACAATCATCAGTCGCTGAATAACACAAGACGAAGAAACATTCAAGACGAAATAAAAATTATTCATCCTCAAGACTGATCAGACGAGATGAAAAGGTCAAAGTCTAATTCTTAGACAGAGACTCAATCTTCCAAACGCAAATGAAGCATGATGAAAAGCGTCTAGAGTCTACTAGTCACAACGAGGAAGATTATACATCATCTCTCATCTCCATTTATAAGAAAAGCGCACGAAGTTATCAATGTTATGAATTGAAAGAAGAAAAATACAAGAGGGTGAGTCCGCAAGTCAAAGCTGTGTGTATCAGGAGAAGTACAACTGCTTTCCAAAAAAAGGCAACCCCTCCGTAGCTACAATGACAGAAAAAGGACAAACATACCTAGGTCATGATTGAAGTCAGAAACAAAAGGGAACAATTTATGCAAAAGACTTCACATGAAATACAGATTGAGCAAGCAAAGCATTTAATGCAAAATCAAACGCATTAAATGAACAAGATATGAGTAGCCATAAACGAATGTTCATCTGCACCAACGGAAAGCCCCGCCTCAACGGACATATTCAAATTCAAATAACAGGCAAATCCATCACAAGGCTATAAAGAGCAAGCTCCGATAAGAAAAGAAGCAGAAGAGAACAACAAGCAATAAGCCAAAAACAAGCATAAAAAACAACCTTACCTCTCTTCTTGTGAAAAAGTTGAATATCCGAGTAAAACTAAGATAGCTTATCTTAGGGAGTGTAGAAATCAGTTTATCCTCTCTGTGAGAGTTACATACACACTCTAAACACATTCTTGTAAAACTAAGGTTGAAAACCTTAGTGAGTGTAGAAACCAGTTTATCCTCTCTGCAAGAGTCATATACACACTCAAAACATTTATCGTCTGTAAAGCCTGAAGAGACTACCAAAAGAATACTCACTACTACAATAACAACATTTTACATCAGTTCTTTTGACTATTCTACATCGGTTTTGAAACCAATGTAGCTATAGATGACATAGAATGTGTAAGATATTCTACATCGATTCTTGAACCGTTGTAGAAAGTGAACAAAACTACTTCAGGTCTTTTATCACCCGATGTAAAATGTTGAGAAATAGTACATAAGCATTAACGTGGTTGAAGTAATTTTTTATTTATCAAAACTAATTTTTAGCATGCTTTTAATCCCTGTGATAGCAGGCTTTTTATCCTTTTTTATTATATAAAACCATTTTCCATTATTATTAATTAATTCATCTTATATATCATTAGTTTCTTTATTTACATCGTAGAAACTATACAATTTATGCAACAATTATTACTGAATATTGAGAATTGAAATCCAAAATTAACCATAAAATGACAAGTACATGGTATTATGATTTTGATTAAGTTACGAGCTTATGAACATTCAAGTTTTGGCACACGTCAAATAAGTCCTCAAATGGGGAAAATTACAAACTAACTAGAATATAAAAAGAATGGAACCAAACATTAGAACCCCTGAAAAGTCACAAAGCATGCCACCAAGAAACCCACAAAGCATGCCTCCAAGATTTCTATTAGAAGACGATTGTTCTTGCCTTTGAAGCCAATTAAAGATCCTTTACTGCTTCTTCCCATTGACCGAGCATTGCTCATGCCATGCCACGTGACTTGTATCCTTTAGTAGAATTAGGATTAATCTGGGTAAAAAATATAAAATAAAAAAGTAGAAGTAGAGGGCTATACAATACAGTTTTATAAAGAGAGGATTCAACATTTACGAGACTGACAACCTAAAGAATTATGTAAGGAAAATATTTAGTTTAACAAATACAATTAAAAATTATATTTTGCCTTCTATTTTATCATATGTGACGATGTGAAAATTTCAACTATGCTCACCACGCAATTAGTATTTCACGTCAAGGGTATAAAACTGTAGCATTTTATCATATTAACAAAGAATACCTAAATGAAAAATAAGGATCACATACATTCGCAAAGAGTTACAAAATACAATGAAACTTGTAATAAATGGTCAAATATAATTGCTTTCTAATTCCCACTATATAATTGCAATGTGAAAATATCTTACAAAGCATATGTTGAATAAGGAGACTTACATCATTATCATAATAGTTTGCTAGTGTTGTGAACAATTTCTCTGTCTCACACCTAATGATAGACAAAAAAATTAATAGTTGCCTCGTGAAGCAATTTGTGACTAATAGATGGAGAAGTTGAAACTTACATGGTGTAGATTAGAAGAAAAAGAAATTGAGAATCTTGATTTTACATTTCTGATTAAATGTCCCCTCTCTATATAATGTCCCCACTTTGTAATGCATGAGTTGATAAGTGCATAATTTCACAGGTTCTTCAACACATATCTTCCACGGCATAGGCGTCAAAGCAGTTTGCCTATGGTAACAAACAAAACCAAATTATAAAATTCATATTCAAAGGTTTAATAAGGGCACTAACAAGATTAATTATTATACATAAGTATTACTTGCTTGAATACTAAAAAGAAAAAGGATTATCCTGTGTGTCCATGATATAAAGTGGACTTATATTTGTACCAATGCCTAATTTTGTCAGGCCATATGTAGAAGGTTAATAAGTTACATTTTATATAGTCAAGTAACAAATGGTGCATTGCTTCTGATGACTCAAGTTCTAAAAGTGCCCATTTATCTAATAATATATGCCAATTAATGATAGAAATAAGATCTCAATCCAACCATTAATAAACCAACACTATATTCTAAAAGAGTTTATGTGCCCGAAGAGTTTAGCTTTTACAAAAAGAAAACTAAAAGTAAAGACAACATAGGGTGAGGTTCCCTCACATCTTGTAGATAATAAGGTCGGCTTTAATGGGATAAAGACCATGTAATATGTATCATAAAGGTCAAAGTGTTACTCAAAAGAATAGTTAAGACAATGGCCACAACATGTCAGTAACCTACAAATACTCTGAATTTTATTGGTACTTTTCAATCCAGCCCTCATCCAGAAATATTCTAAATCTACTTCCAAGTAACCTACAAATACTCATAAACACACATGTCAGTGGAGCTTCGAGTATCCTCGCAAAAAAGAAGAAAATAAAAATAGGCAATAAAGAATCTAAATAGACAAAGAAGAAAATTTATAAGGATCTAAATAATTAAGAAAGAAGTAAATAAGGATCTAAATTCATAAGAATCTAAAAACTTTAAATCTGCAACAAAGAAGAAAATAAAATAGACAACAAATAATCTAAATAATTCATAAGGATATAAGGCCTATCAATGGAGATTTGAGTATCTTCACAAAGAATCTAAATACAAATCTAGTCAAATGTAGAGCTGAAAAAATTAAATAAACAAATGAGGGGAAAATGGAATCAATTCTTTCTAGTAGAAATTGAACATCCAACTTGATTACAGAAGAAATAAGCCAGTGAAGTTACCTTGCACAACCTCACCATCGCATTTGATGTAAGACAAGTCAAGATCCTCCGTTGGCGTCATTGCACACCTTTTCCCCATCATTGGAGATCTCAAAACATGGATGATCCTTCTCTTTCAACTTCTTAATTGAATTCAAATTCCAATTACAGAGAAAAAAATAAGTGAATCCATACCGTAGCAAGAAAAAAGCACAAAAACAAGAAACTAGAGTTGCAATTACTGAATGCAAACCTAATAAAGTGCGACGTGACTTATGAACTAAGTAGAGGGATGGACGAGCTTTTAGCGATGGAATAGAAGTTGGAGCGTCTCGAGAAGCCATGGAAACGTGTAACCCCTCTGACATCTCCAATTGGCTCAAAACCATGCTCTCCAATTTTGACACCCTCCCTTTGGAGGATCCAGAAACGGAATCTACCTCCTTTGACTCTGACCTAAAGGTTATTTCAAGAAATAAATCTATGGCTCTATAGTGACGTGAACAAAACAAAGATAAAAATAAAACCATCTGATTGGTTAACTCTGGCTGGTTTGAAGTATCAGGGGCACAAATTAGCATTTCCAGACATCCTAAAGGAGATGCAGTTCGACCGTCACATAGCACTGACATCTATGATTAGACCAGAGCTGCAGGGCTGAAATGTCAGAAATGTAGGAAGTCTTAACATTAACGACAAACTCCTACATTATGTCTACGTCCATATATTGGCTCCCAGATCAAGTAAATTTTCCCAACTCTTGCAGGAAGACATTTTTCTGTTATGGGCCTTAAAGAATAACATTTTGATCAACTGGCCCCATTATATCATGCAACACATGGTCAAATGCAAGGACAATGGGATGCCTCTTCCATACCCCATTTTAATTTCACACATTTTGGTTGTTTATGGCATATACTTATCAATTGATGTTGCAGTCGAATTAGGGTGGACACATTTTTTAATAAAAATACCATGAAAAAATTAAATGTCGTGAATGTCAATGGGGTATGGATACATGGCAGGGATAATCATCATCATGGCCAAAATGTTGAAGACGAAGCCCATGCAATGCCTGAGGACCATGCTGACGAGCAGCCTGCCGACATCACACAACAACCTTCAGTCCAGTATGATGGTCAAATGCTTTCCCAAATATGGACTGGCATTCAAGGGTTACAAGAAGGATTAAATAATTTGACTATCAATGTTAATCGAGTACATAACAGGCTTGATAACCTCGAAATTTTTTTTGATGACTTTCAAAGTTCATTTGAATAAACTACATTATCTTATTTTCTATTGTATTATTGTAATTTAAATATGTTTTATTTAGTTGCAACATTTTTCTTTTCTATTATTTTATGTCATATTTAATTATTGTTTACTTAATTGATGACTGAATTGTATTTTCTGTTTCATTTTACAGATATGTTATTATCCATCTACTTTGTAATGTTATAAATTTCTTAATTTTTTAATTGGTAAAAATTAACTTGTACAATTAACAAATGTATCTTCATTTCATTCTAATTTATGTTAATGATTTGCAATTTTTTTAATTTATTAATTAACTTTCAAAAATTTTATTGTACATTTTTTTTATATTAAGAAAATTCTATTATTTAAATATTGACATCAAAAAGTGGAAATATAAAAAAAATAAAGTAATACATGATTATAAAATTAAAATAATAACACTTTCATAAACATTAATAAAATAATGTTACAAAATATAATTATCATAATATATTTTGTTATTATTATTTATTATTATAAATATTATTATTTTCATTTTTATTAATATTATTATTATTATTTATTATAATTAGTATCATTATTATTTATTATGATTCTTATTATTTCTCTAATATTTATTATTATTCTTATCATTATTTATTATATTTTTAATAAATTATACCTATTAATATAATTTTATTGTAATTATTATTAATTACAATAAATAATATTATACTCATTTTTAATCCAAAATTTTTATCTATCATTAAATTTAAAGCAAATATTTAAATTAAATTATTTTTAAATTTATATTTTATAATTTTTTTTAGTTAAAATTTATATATTTATCTTTTAATTATAATAATTATAAACTTTTTTTTAACCTAAGGGCAAAATATTAATCTTACACAATTATCAATTAAAAAATTTATTTTTATCTATCACATCAATCAATTTATTGACAAACTTTCTCTACACTTTCCACTCACTTTCCCTTAATCCAAACAACCTCACTTTCCACTCACTTTCCCTTCAAAACCCTCCTTTTCCATCCTCAAATCCAAACAAAGCCTTAAGGTTAGTAAGAGATTTTGGTGACTTTGGTTCAGATCGGATCAATTTCTCTACAAATTACAAGTACTTTTAAGAGGAGAATTCTCGAAAGTCAAAAAGCTTCTTTTTGGTTTTTTTAAAGTCATTTTTGCATCCATCCTGTTCGCTGGAAATACACACACACATGCACACATAGGTGCTACAATGTAATGATGAAAGTCATGATGCTAGTAGTTTGTAAGTGTTATACCATATGTCCTTATGAGGTGGTTCTTGTCAATCTCCTACCTGCATACCATTATCTCCAGCTAATTTCACATCTAACTTATCCTTCTTGTGAACCCTGTTTGTGAGTGCAGAAAAAAAAAACCATCTATATACCCAAAAAATCACCAAAGCATATGGAAAGAGAACAGCCTACTAAGTCAACTGCCTCCATAAAATCAAAGGTAAAGACTGACAAGATGTTTTATAAATTACAATACTTGATTTGAGAATAATATTTTGAATAATAACCTTTATTTTATCTACAAATATTACATCTGTTATAGAGTATAGACATTGAAGTTTGTTGCATCTTCCAGGGAAAAGACGCTGATGTAGCTAGGAAGTTCTTTGAGCCTTCCGAAGTGAAGAAGTGGGCCATTGAAGATTTGAATAAAAAAATTCAGTGGTTGGAAAGTCAAGAAGAAAAGGTTATCAGCTTCCATATTCTGTATAAAGTCTGCTTTTGTTCATTCTAGATGTTATGATTTTCTTATTTACATTTAGAACCTGCATAGAATCAGACTAAAGTGCAAAAAAGAGGTTTGCATTGGAACCAAATTCATTTGTTTGAAACGCATAGTATTTCATTACCTAATCACTCACAATGGCGAATGCTTGATGGCTGTAGCTATCTTTTGTTCCCGCTTAATTGTGCTTAAGGTTGAAAGTTATATCCTATATGAATCTAAATTTTACGTTACCATTTCAGCCAGATCCAAGTGAGATGACCAAAATAGCTGCAGAGGGGATTCTAACTTGTTTGCAAGATGCAATATGTTCTCTAGAGGAAAAACGGGTAATGTACACACACAAAATTGTTTATCACTTTTTTTAGTTTGAAAGCAATTTTTTTGATATTTTCTTTCCCTGGGGGATGCTGGCATAGGTAAAATTTTCTTTGTTTAAATTCTGTGTCAGAATAAATAGAGTATCATATTGATAGATAAAGAGCAAACTTTTGTTATGGATAAGTAAATTTGTAGAAGTTCTCTTATATAACGTCTCTCAAAACTTATTTTTAACTTATACATAAGATAGTTTTAGCTTATAGAAAAACTTATTTTCATGTTCCTTTTCATTTTTTTCTTCTAGACGTGTTTTTGGGGAGGTATTTCTAAACATATCCAAGGAGCATAAATTGATTTTAACTAGTGAGAGAAGCTTGATTCATTTTTCTTCTTGTACAAGTGTTTTTTAAGAAGTTTATACAAACTGGTAACTGGTAGTGGTGGATGAAAATCAAACTGTGTTGGAGACATTGATTCATCAACCATCCCCAGCAAGGTGAAGTACACTCCTCCAAAACTACCTCACTATAATCAGGACAAGACGCCGAAATTCATCATTAGGATCCTTCAGTTTCTAGTTCCCTTGTTCATCTTGGGTTTAGCCATTGGTATTCGTTTCTACACTAAATCAACATGATCATTTAACTGCAAGAGCACATGAGTATAGGCATTTGCAATAATGAGTTTGTGTTGAAAGACACCAAATCAACATGTTGTTTTATCCTTTTTGTGCTTCAATGATGAGGGGTTGCTAGTATATGTTGTATGAACTGTTCTTGTGTTTCCCTTTTCAGTGTAATTTGCTGCTAAATATCAGATTGCCTTTTCTTTGTCAATAATTTGCTAAAGGAGCAGTTTTATGAAGTTTAAGCTTCAAATGTTTTTGCTGATTCTCAATATACCAATAATCTACCTTTTGAAAGAATGTTAGTATTAAGTTTCATTTTCCATTGTGAACTTATGATCCTAATGGGAGTAAGAATCTTGCAATCTGTCTCATTTAGTTAACTAGAAAGGTGCTCACTTATATGCATGGATGACTCTCGTTTTCACAAATGTTTGAAAATATATATGTTTATATAATTAAATTTTACATTGAGATTAACATAAGTTCTCAAAAAATGAAATATTTTATTATCATAAAGTTTTCGAAAAGACACCAAAAATAAATAATAAATATATAT